TGACGCCAGCGGCGGGCGTTGCGGGGGCCCCGAGGCGCCTCAACGCGGTGCAATGGTGCATGGGGTCGGGGTTTCGGGGGTCCGAGTGGGTGCGGAGGATGCGCCTGGTAAGTTGAGGTTGGGGGAGACAAAAGATAGGCCCATAGGCTGGGTTCCAGGTATGACATAATGCTGGGGCTGGGACCTGGGCCCGGAGAAACGGCAAAGGCTCGCAGCTGGGCGCAGCCGGCCCGCGGCTGGGGGATGCAGCCCGCACGCGGGGCTGGACGGCGGGCGCGGGACGTTGGGCGGTCGGGGCGCTTATTTGTGGGGCCCCGGCAGCGGCGTGCGCAAGCCTTTGCGCCCGTCAAACATCAGTGGCCTGGCGCGAGCGCAACCGAGGCGGGGGCGGGCGGGCAGGCGGGCGGGCCCAGCGAGGCAGCTGCGCGGGGCAGCTGTGCGCATCACCTTTGGCGAGTCCACGTGCCACGCGGTGCGCTTGTAACATAAGATGCCAGTTCTTGCCTCATTTTCGAGGGGGGGCAGCAGAGTGCCATGTGCAACAGGGTGCGATGTGCGACCGACCGGTGCGCCCGCGGTGTTTTGTATACGCTGTATAGGCCGGCCTGACAAAGGAAATACAGGGCGTATGCTGGGCAGTGGGATGACGGGCCCGGCGCGTCTCCGAAATCGCATGGGCCGCTTGCGCCCGGCGCCGCCGGGGGCGCGTTGCAGAAAACGGCAGGCAACACTGAAGTGGCGGGGCTCGCCAGCACAGGCTTGGTGATTGAGGGGCGGAGAGGGCTGTGGTGCCTGCGGCGCGAGGCGGCACCCACACAAACAGGGGCGGAGCCGCGGCGGCTGCAGCTGCAGCAGCGGCGGACGCCTCACGCCCGCGCGCCGCCGAGCGGCATCGCCGCCGCCGCCTCCAGTAGCCACGGCCGCAGGGCCGCGCCGTCCACCGCCCCGCCGCCTCCGCCCTCGCCCGCGCCACCGCCCCAGCCGCCGCTGCTCGCGCTCCCGCCGCCCAGCGAGCCGGCGGTTGATGTAGCAAGCCCTTCGTCCGCGAGCCATTGCTGCGTCTGCGCGTAAAGCAGCATCTGCTGCTGCTGCGGCGCGTGCGCGAGGCGGGCGCGCTGCTGCTTGTTGCTGGCCCGGTCGACGCCGGGGGCGGCGGGCGGGAGGCCCGAGGGCGCGGTCGCGCGGGGCGACGGGGAGGGAGGCGACGCGGCGGCAGGCGGGGCGCCGCCAAGGAGGGGCGCCTCAAACAGAGCAGTAGACAGCGGCATCCCGGGCTGCGCGCCGGCGCCGCCGCGGCCGCCAAACGGCGCGCTTGTACCGCCGTACGCGTGCACAGCACCAAACGCCGGCGTGGGCGCCGGCGGCGGCCGCGCGGCGGCGCCCGCGCCCGCCGGTGCCCGCTGGTGCGGCCCTGGTCGCTGCGCCGCAGCGAGCTGCTGCGCCCCCGCGACAGCCGACACCACCTGCTGCTGATGCTGCGCCTGCTGCAGTGCCTGCTGGCGCTCGAACACGGCGACCGCTGCGGCCAGCGCCTGCTGCTGCTGCGCCGCCGCTGCTGCCGCGGCGGTGTGCTGCTCCTGCTGCTGCTGCGCGCCCAGCAGCCCCAGCCCCGCAAGCAGCGCCGCCTCGCCCGCGCCCCCTCCAAAAACGCGCTGCGCGGCGGCGGACGCCGCCGCCGCCGCAGCAGCATGCTGCTGCTGCTGCTGCTGGGAGTACAGAACGTACGCGCGCTGCAGCTCGGCTTTCTCCGCCAGCCCCCATCCGTCCACCGCCGCTGGCCGCGCCGCCAGCAGGTCGAGCAGCGCGGACAGAAACGCCCACGGCGGCGCGACGCCCGTGTGGCAAGCCTTCAGGAGCGTGCACAGCTCCTGCGGCTTGAAGCCCAGCGCCGCGCCGCCGTCGGCGCCGGCGCCGGCGCCGCTGTTGATTTGGAGCCTCAGGGTCGCGACCTCGAAGATGGCCGTCAGAAGCTCAGTCTGCAGCAGGCCGGCCTTGTCAAACGCGTACACTGCATTGGATAGCGCCTGCTCGTTGAAGCCGCCCGCCCCATGGTATGGCAGCGGCCGCCGCGCGCGCAGCAGCGCGGCCGTCGCGCGGAGGCGGCCGACCGCCTCCGAATTGACAACAGAGAAGAGCTGCCGGAACGGCGGG